AATAGTGAAATGTTGATTTAGCGAATCTCTTTTGTCTTTGTTGATTTCCTGTTGTCACAATACTTGTCTGTCGCCTGCCAAAACAAATGCGCAGTTATCACCTCTATAAAAACAAAGAAAAACTGTCAAGTGTAATAAGGAAGCGCTCCAGATTATTAAGTGTGTGTGAGGAGAAAAAAACGTTGTTTGGCCACCATTTTGAATTTAGAATGAAGTCATTAGCGACATCTTAAATTAGAAAATTTGTTCTCTTGCTAAATTCCCTAAAAAGACATGCTCGCTAAAAAGACATGTTTTACAGTACATGTATGTTGCGGCTAAAGAGCACAAAAGACATGTCCAATGATGTTTGTTCATTTTCTATTATCTTGTCTGTAACATCATAGATAAAGGGCGCAAGGTATATACGTATGAGGGGAAAATGTCTGTTTTTGTTGTTGTTGTCGTTGACCCATAAAACTTTTTTTTTCAAACTTGAATATAATATTGACCAGTTTTAGATGGATTATCGTACACATGAATAAAATTTTCCTCTTCCTGTGGTTATAATTATTTAACAATTTTATTTGATCATCTTCAAATTTGGGAATCTTATCAATCACTATGAAATGTCAACCAAGTTCAATTTTTGTGTAACTAGCAAAGACAATTTTATAACATTTTTACACATAAAGTGGCCAGACATGTATTTTTCAAAAACTTGTACAATAATGTCTTTTCATTTTTTATTAGTTCCACATCATTGGTAGAGAGTACAAAAGAGAAGACTGTCGTGAGTGAAAGTTGTCAACTTGTCACGGTGAATGAAGTGATATCCGGTAAACTGGAAGTTACAAACTCATTTCTCTATTTTATTGATGGAACACAAGAAAATGAAGAAGGTATGTCAGTTGATTCATTGATTGACTATGTGATCGATTGATCATATTTTTAGCTCTGCTGTCATCGCATCGATGGGGGTCTCTCCGGCGTCATCCGTCCCACGTCCCGTGTGAAGTTTTCCTTTAAACGACTTCTCTTCAAAAGTACTTGACCAATTACATTCATATTTGTACCAAAGGTACTTGGGATGGTCCTCTGTCAGATTTGTTAAATTCGTGTCAAAATATGGAAATTTGGATTTTTAGTGAATATTTTTGGTAAAAAATGTTATTTTCGACAACTAGTTCGAAACCAAATGTTTTGATATTTGCAGCAATGGTACTCAGGGTGGTCCTCTGTCAGATTTGTTAAATTTGTGTCAAAATATGCAAATTTGGATTTTTAGTGAATATTTTTGTCATTTTTGGTAAAAAATGTTATTTTCGACAACTAGTTCGAAACCTTCAACCACAATGCCACTTTACTGATTTTTGTTCCATGAAGACAGCAGAGCTATTTCAATCGTCAGATTGCTTGTTTGGTCAAGAGTTTGTTTTATGGATACCTTTATTGATTTATTGATCAATTGATGACTTTACTGTTGTAAATGTTGATCTTATTAACTCACCCCCTAGGACATTATGATTTGCATATTTTTCACTAATGTTGTACTTCTCAGCCGGAGGCCTCAAGTATTGAATAAATTATATTCTATTTATTGATCAGTTTATTGTTCATAATACTTATTGATTGATTGATTAGTGATAAATATTTTTTTATGAAATATTTGACATTTGTATATAGATCAAGGATTATTAAATGGTTGATTATATTGATTAATAACATTTTCTGAAAAACATCTTTATTTAATAAATAATAATGTTTTCAAGGATAACCGATATGCACATTCTCAGTCATCGTATTTTGTGTATAATTTTAGTAACCGTTATCAGAATACCATATCAGAATTCTAACA